GGTAAATCAGTTTGCTCATAAATTGGACAGTAAAGTCAATCTATACTCTTTTTGAAGATAGGTCAGAATCTTTGTCTTTACATAAATTATTGGTTTAGTTTAAAGAAAAGACTATTCGTAATTTAGATCCTGCGTTAGTTTGGGAACTTTGTTAACTTTCTATTTTTCTATTGTTTTTCTTCTACTGCATCATATCATTACTCGATATCTTTATCACTGTGCTATTAATGGAACATCCAGTTGAAAAACGCGTTTGTTCTAGACTGAGCATACAATCTTAACCGATAATAATGACTATTTTTCTGTAGAATTTAAAAGTGTATCTTGTCCTTTGTTCTAGGATTGACAAGTACGCGAAAAAAAATGTTTGAACATTCGACAAATATGCTATCTATCATATTGCTTTCGATTATTTCTTTTCTAATGTGTTTGTGTCTTATATAGGATAATTTAAGCTTTCTTGCATTATGTAAGGTCCTAAGTATGTGGAAATAAATACTTGAGTGTACGATTTTAATCTTTTCTTTTTTGTCGCTTCTAGGCCCTAATTGAGATGATCAGTGATATCAAAGCGATGGAGCATCAGATGCGGGAGATGAACTATGATGCACGTAGGGCCCCCCTGGGCAAGCTGACCCCCGGACAGATCAAGGCCGGTTATGAAGCTCTCAAGGAGATCTCCGATTGTGTGGAAGCCTTGAAGAAATTGGAGGAAGATGAACAGGATGGTGCAAAGACTGGGAGAGGCAAAGCAGGAAGAAGAAAAGGTCTTCCTAACCCCGATGATAAGAAGGCTCTTAGCGACAAGCTCCTGCATGCTTGTAATACCTACTATACTCGAATTCCACATGATTTTGGGTAAGCGCTTTGTTTTTTAATTATATTATTTTACTTGTGGAAGTGGTAAATTGCATATCGTAACTGACAATCGCCAGACCTATCACTTGTATAGTTTCAATGTTCATTAATTCACTTCAGCTGTTTGGACGTTCTACTCGAAAGTACTCGAGAATTGGTTGGCACTGTTTTACTTATTTTATGGCGTCTGTTAAATTCGCGCAAATATCTTGGTCATGATGATAGGCGTTAATGTATATTTTGTCAGTTTGCATGTATAAACAGGTGCTGCGTGGTTGTTGAATAAAATTCCTGTTAGATGCTGCACTGAAGGCATTTGTACTCACTAATTCTCATATTCATATGCCTGGTTGTTTCAACCTTTCTCATTGATCTCAGCGGCAAACTAATGCCCACTTTTATTGTATTTCTTCAGCCTGAATTTGCTTAATAGGTCGATGAATCTGGTCAAGATTAGTTGAAATGCCCTTGATGTGAGTGTTTCATTGAATTATTGCTTGACAATAAATGAAGATTGATTGGCCCTTTAATCACTTTCTGTTCTGCTAATTAATTTTCGTTGCTTTTGAAAGTATGAATTTTTTGAATTTCCACAAATTTACAGCGATGGACTTTTCTTGCTATGTATCTCCCTGTACTTGGCATGATAATAAAATTAAAAATAATACTAATATTGCCCAATCCGCTTGAAATAAGCTTTTTAAAAACTCATATTGGGTAGACGAGTAGCATCGGTGGCTTTCCTGTTGGGAAATTCACCTTCTGTCATTCTCATACCTCAGCATTCACATAATTTTTCTTTGATTTGCGCTGCTGTGTGTGGAATTCCTGACATGGCCCTACAGACATTGCTGTTAATTACACCTCTTCATCATCTGAGTAGCTTCGGACTATGATATTACTCCTCCATACTTTCAAAGGAATCAATATTCAAGACCAATTGATAGTCATATTTCTGGAAAATACTTACAAAGAACCCAGAAGATCCCAACAAGCATGCATTTGTTTGGATCATATCCCATAGAGCTTTGATGGGCGAACGAAGTACACTTGATGAAGAGGAATTTAAGCCCAGGGAGTTAGTCTTATTACCAGAAACTGAGAATCTAGACACTACAGTGCTTTATTTGTAACTTGCATGTCTTTTTTTAGAATGCGAGTTCCTCCCCTGATCTCCACTCCGGATGATGTCAAAACCCAGTTGGACCTACTCAAAGCCCTCGAAGACATTGAGGCAGCCTTCAGCGTTATCAAAACGAAGGGCAAAACTCTTGATATGCATCCAGCCGATAGGAATTACAGCAATCTCAAATGTAACATCGAACCCATACCCACCAGTCACAAAATGGAGAAAATCATTAAGGATTACGTTCGATTGACTCACGCTTCGACGCACAATAACTACAGTTTAGAGGTGCTGCAAACTTTCGAGCTGGCAAAGAATGGTGAAGCGGAATCTTTCCAAGACTATGGAACGCGGTATGTGTGTGTGTGTGTTCAAGCGCTTGAGTTACTCTATTTTAATAGTATCTCCACATGATTGCCCTACCAATAACTTGTCTGGTGCTCGGAATAGCTCATGAATATCTACTAGTTTCAGTATTTGAGAGGTGCTGTATCATTAGAATATCTCATCTGCCTGTTGTGGGAGTTGGAGGTTGGGGAATAAGCATTTAAGACGCCCGGAATATCTTGCTCTTCAATTTCGTATTGTCGCAATGTTCATTCTTCATCAAATGACTTCCAGATTTAAGAATAAAATCAACTAAGAGTAGGGAGCAAAATATTGGCATCTCACAACCCGCCCAAGTTTAAGTTACAAATTTGTCAAAGCTGTTCCATCTTGAACTGTAAAAAATTGGAATATTGAGTTGTATCATCAACCCTCTTTTCATTATGCTGCGAATGATTTTTCATGTGATTTGTGCTTACTTTTATAGACGTCTTCTCTGGCATGGAAGTCGCCTCACCAACTGGATGGGAATTCTCGGTCGTGGATTGAGGATAGCTCCTCCAGAGGCACCTTGTACTGGTTACATGTTCGGCAAAGGTGTCTACTTTGCAGATTGTGTGTCCTTGTCAGCCGGCTTTACCCATGCCTACATGAACGAAAATGTTGGGTTCGTGGCTTTATGTGAAGTGAGTTAGCTTTTCCCCTGTTGTCACTAATCGTAACCTATGAATCAGCTCATATCATTTTGTACTCTATGTAGGTTTCCTTGGGAAAAATTAATCCTCTATTATATGGTGACTCCAATGCAAATAATCTTCCCCAGGGAAGGCACAGTGTTCAAGGCGTCGGCAGCAAAATGCCAGACAAGTCGACATGGATCACTTTGTGAGTTACTCGCGTGTAGCTTAAGTGCAAAGATTTCTGTGTTTATCTAACTTGAAAAATTTCTCCTGTAGGGATGATGGTGTGGTCGTTCCGTGTGGAAAGATGGTAGACTCGAATGTAAAGAATGCCTCCCTATATTACAATGAATTCATTGTCTACGATGTTCGACAAATTCGCTTGCGCTACTTAGTTCAAATTAAATTCAATTACGAATATTGATCCTTTATCACTCAATTTCATCCCCCACTCCCCCCCCCCCCCCCCACTCACATTCTGGCTGTGGCAACTTGATATTTATGTAATTTTCCCATTGTTCATTTTAATTTTAATTTAACGAAATTAGTGTTTGTAATATTATTGAAAGTTGTCTCTGTTATGAATCTGACAAAACAATACTTATGGTTTGAATCTTAGTTTTGTGATGAGGACACAGCACAATTAACATCATGGCACCTATTTGGAATGAAACTGTAGTCTGTTAAAACGTCAACAGAAGTAGAGCTTGTGTCATGTATGATTGTTTCCTATATCGCTCCTGCTTTCTCTCTTCGAGTCTGGGAAAACTGTTGACTTGGGAATACACTATTAGCAGCATAACTTGATCTCCTAGTGGTTCCTCATTATAGAGCCCTCAAGCTTACAAAAGTGAACAACTGAGTAGT